TTCTGTACAGAGGCGACGGCAACGCTGTATGCTGGCTGCAAGACGCCGGACGCCGGCCCTGATCTAGGGTGTGTCTACCGTAGACGATGGTGCACAGTTATACACCCTCGTCAGCGGTATAACGGGGGAGGAAGATGGTAACGTCCGCCTCGAGGCTATGCATGCAGTAGATGCACTTCTTGAGTCGGACAAGATGTCCCTTGAAGAGTTCGGCAGTGCCATGAAGGCAGGCGATTTGGCCGAAGTGGTCATTGTACGACCGGACAAGGAGGTAACCTCGTCACCGCTTCTAAAAGAAACTGTTTTGTAGGACACCAAGAGAGTGCTGAACGCGCGAAGTGGATCGTCGATCCTACGGAATCCCTTGGATACATACTATCCTTTGGTAAAGGAATTTCAAGGCGACGTTTCCAAACTTTCGGTCCTATCTCCGGACCGAAGTGCGCGTCATGAGATTTACCTAGTTTCGGGAGCCAAAATCTGCGTAGCACACCAATGACCCCTGCCCAAGGAGCAGTGCGACGTCATTAACGTCTCGTCGTGCGAAGTACGGCGCAGGGATGGTACGTGAGAGCAAGTCTCCTCATTCTGCACCCACATTTTGTGTTCGGAAGCCAAACGGCAAGAGGCGTATCGTTCATGCTTACAATAAGCTCAACGCTGCCACCATTCGGCACAGACGCCGCTTCTTAGAAAGGATGTTCTTCAGATCATCATGGTAGAGTGCACTCGACTTAGTAGATGGGTATTACCAATTGCTCATGAGAGCGAGTGATATTCCGCTGAAAGCGGGGAGCACTCCGAGTGGTATGCTTTGGGAGTGGCCGGTGATGCATATTGCACTTCCGGGTTAGTCCTGAAAATATGCCGGTATCAGTGTCCGTACAATAAACTTGTTTTTTTTTACTTTCGTGTATTTTTAGGATGAGGCCATACTTTGGATCCAAGTCTAAGACCAGACAGCATTTCACGCTATCAAAGTCAAGGAACTTGACTCCGACTTCCACAGTGACCTTCGGGACCGTGACATTTGTCCCCGTCGCTAGGCGAACAGTGACGATGTCGCCCAACCGCGCTTTCAGCGCCTCAGCATACAGCTGACTTCCTTTCTTCGTGGAACGTCGAGCATAATTATTTGACGCCCCGGAATCGATGAGGATTTCCATGACTTCTCGAAGCCCTTTGCGGTCGCCTCCACAACCAGCAAGCCCGGCTTGCATACACGTTCCGTTTTCAAGAGTACGGAGCTCTTCGAGGCTGGGCCCTGTTGACTTATGCCTCCCTGAGGCTCAACAAAACTCAGTCCTTCCCCAGTAGGTCGCCCCGCGCCTTCTAAGTGGTGTCGTTTCCCCGCGACGAACCAGACTGGTAGGCGTTGGGACGATTGTTCGAAGAACCTTGACCCGCCTTGCGCAGGGGGCAACGGTTCCGAAGGTGACAGGTGTCTCCACAGACAAAACACCGTCGTATATTTGTGTGTACGTGGTAGCTCAGAGCTCTGCTTCCTCGTTCTCAGCATGGCTGAGATCCACGGGCATAGGTCCGCTCGACGAGCTGGTAGAGTGTGCATTCCAACCAAGTTGTGCCGACTTGAAATTGAATTTGGCATTCGATGCCGCATTGACCGCTTCTTCAAATGAAGACGGATGCACACGGAAGACTTTAATTCTTGCAACATCAGTGGGGAGGCCTTCCATAAAGATGGTCACTGAGACCGCATCCAAGAGAGGATCTACTGCCATTCTGGCAATAAGAGCGCGCATCTTTTGAAAAAAGTCCACCAGTTCCTTGTTGCCCTATCGGGCAACAAGGAAATGCGATCGCTGGCGATATGGCGATATGCCAGACTAGGTGGCGAGAATACTCGTGAGAGTTGCAACCCAGGCTTTACCCAGAAGGGAAAATCGACCGAAGTAACGCACGTCAGTGCACATTCTCGCGCTCGACCACCGAGCTTTGAGATGGCTAGCGCCACGCGCTGTTGCTCTGTCTGGAGCGTGGCGGATGCGATGGCCATTTCGACCTCTCTCACCCAGAGCAGTTGCTACATCGCTTGAAAACAAATTGATAAATTGACATAATATCTTTTACCCACTTTGTATTAGATTGGGCTTTTGGTTCGAATTTTCTTGATGTTAATACGATAGCTTGTTCTCGTAGTCGGTCGACTAGATGGAAGAGCGATGGCATCACAAACAAAGGAATTCATTACCACTAAACGCATTTGGCATCATTGGTTGAATGAATGGACTCTGTGCTATCTACGCCATCTATCAAAGTTACTATTTGATTCCTTTCAGACGAATGATTTTGATACAATAAGGGCGAAAAAGTAACTATGGATGTGTATTACTAAATTAAAACAATACCTAAAGTTCTCTTAAGATAATCAGAAATATTAAAACTGTTCAAGCGACTAGATTGAACTCAAGCTGCAACAATCTATTTCTAATAAATAGTATAATATCTACAAGTACTGCTGGAACGAGCACTACTACTACAAAAATCATCAGACTGATTGTTCACCGTCAGCTGCGCATTCTTATTTTTCGACACATGTAGCCAAATTACTTGAGATGGGCATCTTGTTCTTTATTCAATGATACGGTTAGGCGATCATTTCAATACAGCGGCTGACGTCTTAGGTCCAATCAATTATCTAACAGTACACAATTCAATTGAGCGGCAGGATGTTTTAGGTCCAATCAATTATTTGATGATACGGTTAAGCGACATTGCCTTAGGTCCAATTAAATTGAATCTGCGTGAGAGTCTTGTCTGGGAACTTTTTACTCTTTCTTTAATTCTGTTAAAAAAATTTCAGAAACAAGCCAAACGTTTAGGGTACAGTGAAAAAGTAGTTCTATGTAGCTCTCGTCCCATCTCAAAGTAGAAGGACACCACTACGTACATTTTAATAACTATTTTAGTTACTACTATTATAATTTGTTGTTTTATTTGTAATATAATTGAGTATCTGAAAAACTAATTAAAAACCTATTAAAATAACATTTAGCAAAACAATCAGGTTAGCATCAATTTGTGTTAGGATATCTTCAGAGTTGCTAAAATGATATAGCAATCAATATCTTTTCTCTTCGTGCAAATGTAGTATTCACTTCTTTCCAATAAGCATGATCTATACTAAATCAAGAATCATATATTGGCATTATTAATTTATTAAAACGAAAAGGAAATGCTTTATCACAGATCATGACCAACAATAAAGCATAAAGAGTTTTGAACTCCTTCAATAATCACCACTCCACATAATTTTTTCAGACTCATGTAGCCAAATTTTTGAGATGGGCATCTTGTTCTTTATTCCATGATACGGTTAGGCGACATTTCAATAAAGCGGCTGACGTCTTAGGTCCAATCAATTAATACACAATAGAATGGCTGGATGTCTTAGGTCCAATCAATTATTCAATGATACGGTTAAGCGACATTCTAATAGGAGTCTTAGGTCCAATTAAATTGAACTTGCGAAAGAGTCTTGTCTGCTTAATATGGGTAGTTTTTACTCTTTCTTTATTATTGTTAGATGTTCTGGGTACAGTGACAAAATACATCGTTTTTATGTAGCTACTAGTCCCGTGTACCTCAAGCTCGAAGATTGATACAATAATGGCATTTGACAATTTTCTCTTTGACGGTGAAGTGATCAAGAAATTAGTGATGCGTGTTTTTTTTTTTTACTCGTTATTCTTCCTTTCGGTGGTTAAACTCAGCCATGAATTGACTCTTAGCGTGGATGCGAATCGACTTAATGACTCTGGTCATTTTGGCACTGATCTAATTGCAAGATCTACGGACGTCGCTGCCAACGAAAGTGCTATCGATGCATCTCTGAGTGACTATGATGGAGAAAACCCAAACACAAGTGTTGACAAAATCAACGAAGAAAGGGTTTTCACGTCTGAGCAAATTAATCGTATCAAACAAGCCCTGGCTGATGCTAGTGCGATGGAAGACACTTTGGACAAGATTGGTACAGTGATTCAAAGAGCTACAGGGAGTAATTCAAGAGAAGCGAGTATTAATGTACTTAATCAACTTCAAAACTTTCAAGAGGTGGAACGTGAACGTTACATGTCCGGATACATTCCTGTCTTTGTTGTGACAGTGCTTCAGAACTATGATGACTTCAACGGAATTGAAAACTTGGAGAGAATCGTGTACGTAGAAGAAAATGGAAACAAGATTCTCGATCCTACGATTACTGATTTGTGGTTACAGATATTGCATGAAATGTATAAAGATCATCCCGATGTGGATAAACGATGGGTACTCGTACGTGAAGCTTATCGTCACCTGTCACGATATGTAGACGTGTCTAATCTGCTTCAAGGTCGTGAAATGAATGATTTTAATGCCGCTTTGCGCCTTCACGTATGTCGTGTTCAACAACTTGATAAACGTCTAGAACTAAATGAAGATTTCGAATCGTCTTTATTTAAACTCAAAATAAAGGGTGACCGGAATGTTGAGCTTGATTGGCTGGAATATCTTCAAATTCTTGCAAGTCGAGACAATGAGATATATCCTTCGCTTTTGAAGTACTATCAAGGAAAAATCCAGCCACTTGATAAATGTGAAAAACATGTGAATGATCTTCCCGACGTTCCTGAATTGGCAATACTTAAGGAAGAAATGATAAAACTTATCACTGCAGCGAAAGAGTCAGGTAAAGTGTGATTAGATGTTTTTGGATAAAAATCGAGCTGCCACTAATTTCTGTGATTTGACAACCTATATAGGTACATCGGGTACTCACAATTAGCCCCTGAAAAGCCGCGTGACCTATCAATCCCCTAAGACACTACGTCTTGATAAATCGAAGTTGTGGATGGTAACGCAACCTACGATCATGCCCATGTCGTTTTGTGAACTGCTTAATAATCAATCACTAGCTTCATAATTTGATTGTGTAACGAGCCTAAAACAATAAATACGATGTTCACGTTACCGCCACTCTGTTATTCCTTAACACTCGCTGCTTTAGTGAATTTCATCGTGCGTCTGAGTCCATTTGCCTAAATGTTGAGGTTCTTATGAAATTCTTTTGATATATTTGATAGTAATAAGGCTGAAGAATTGCTATAGAAATTTTCAAAGAAAAAAAAGTCGAGACGACATATCCTTACATTATAAACGTGCCACTTCAAATTTTAGTCACTCTTGGACTGGTGAGTATTAACATTAGAAATAATACATTGCAATAATAAAAAAATGTATTAAATGTTAATACCCGCCAGTCTGTGTCTATTTCTAATTTATAGAAGATTGCAAATACAATATTTTGTGTAATATTTAGATTACAAACTTTTTGATTATATTTGAATTTTTTATACGAAACCTCATGCTGCTAATGACATAGTCACCACAGACAGCATTTAAATGCGTCCTTCTTCAAACAACCACGCATCGTTGGGACTGGATGTGAATAAATCTTTTTTAGATCGTTCTTAATCACGTATGGATTCATCTTGACGGCTGAGTTGTCTGCGCCCCAATTCACGTCGGCCCTTCATCATACATTAAGAAATGATAGGAAAAGGATTTAAATGGCTACCAACTTTGATGCAGCAATGAAATGGGAGCATGATCAACTCATGTACTGAATTAAATTCTTCGTATCTATATTCCCTCGTGTTATTGCAAGCAAGTGATCAAATGGGGCACATTTGACAAGCTTGGGGTCGTTTTTTGTCGCCATCCGTGTTCTTGTCGCTGCTAATCACGACTTTCACGGTGGCTAGCCGGGTGCATCTTTGATAAAAGCGCGAGCATGGCTTCATTCGGTTGTCAAGATCAAAAATGTACTCGACGGGCACTTGCCGCCCTTGCAGACTGTTCAACTAACGATGTCGAGTGGGACGGTTCTAACTTGATTTTCACTATGGCGCTGGTAAATTGCTTGACGATGTAATTTTCTGAGCAAATTCTGTGAGATGACCTAACGACAAACTTTCTTAGCAAAGCAGGCCTTTCCTATCCGACGTACTACTCCAAATCAACGAGGCAATTCAACAGTGGTATTTGACGCGCAACAAGCAGAACGTAGCGTCACCAGCTCAACATAGTCGCCGACCACGTCATGCGGATTTTTACGCTGCTATTTACCCCTGTCTTAAAGGAAAAGACGTCTGACTAGAACATCGTTCGATCATGAGCGTTGTGATCTATCAAAACTTCGAGAATGGTGCTCGCCCTCGCCTCAACCTCATGCTCAAATTGTCATGCTAGCATTCCGATCCAGCTACAAAAACTCTCGAGCTTAGATCGTAGGGTCATAACCTCATGTAGAAACACGTTGTGTCGCACGGCTCTTAGGTGCGTTGTGGGGTTCAAAAAGTGTGTTTTCATTTTTCCCATTGTGTGTGTTTTATAGCTTCAATGTTACTTGCCTGATGAGGATTATCTGCCAGGGTTCTTTCGATCCGCCACGTTGCAAGATTTTGTATCGGAAAAATATGCCTTACCGCGTAAGCGGAAGCTGGCGTGGAAATACTTCAAATTAGCAGCTACTTTCCCCGAAGGGGAATCAAGAAAGTGCGTCGGAGTCATTAGAGAAATCAGAGCAATATTGCTGGAGCTGGATCCGAAAACTCAAACTATTTACCACTTCTCCAAGTAATGATGATGACCCGGGTGAGTGCTCCGATTCATGAGCTTCTCCATATGAATTGAGCGGCGCTTTGCTCATTGGAGAATACCGGCAGAAGGCGAACCTAGAATGCGGCTTCCTCGAGCTCCTAAATATTGACGATGCACGTAAACGCGCGTCGTTTCAAATCGTAAGTCTCTGTAGAATTCCCTCAGATGTGAACAATTATTACATTTACTTTCAGTAACCCGATGCCGGATCGATGCTTTTTTTGAGCAGAATGCACTGGATAATTGTGACGTGGTCGCCAACTGCTTGCCGTAAAGCAGAAGACGATCACGCCAAATTTTGCATAAAATCAAGTTTTACATGTTTTATCTCAATCCTACATTCCTATTGGACAATATTACCATGCTGGAATAATC